CTTTATTACAGGAGGGGGCGGAGACAAGACCAGTCACCCTGCACAAGGAGAGAGGAGCAGTGACCGGTCTATATTACAGGAGGGGGCGGAGACAAGACCAGTCACCCTGCACAAGAAGAGAAACCAGCAGTCAGCGGACTTTATTACAGGAGGGGGCGGAGACAAGACCAGTCACCCTGCACAAGGAGAGAGGAGCAGTGAGCGGTCTTTATTACAGGAGGGGGCGGAGACAAGACCAGTCACCCTGCACAAGGAGAGAGAGCAGCAGTGAGCGGTCTTTATTACAGGAAGCTCCAAGTCTCACACTTGATTACTGCACAGAGCTGGAAGAAATACACAAAGCTCACCAAGATTCAAGAAGAATACACAGGACTCTTGTACGAGGACAATATTTGCTTATCCTGGAGATCAGCTTTAATTCCTAACTGGATAACATTTATCACAGTGTATCATAAACAGCTGCGATGACTCTTTTCCCTATGAAATGTTGCTGATCTTCTTTAGCTTCTTTCAGCCACTTCCTGTCTACATGCACTTTCTGCAGCATTGGCCACGTATAACTGCTCTGGACCAACTTCCTAATAGTGAAAAGTGTGCACCATGGCCATGCAATGTGTGTCAGCACAGCCGCTTGTAGACTCCAACAGGGATGCCTGTGACAGAGTGACAACAGAGAGGAACAACTGGGAGACCGTTGTCACGAATAAAAAGAAGTGCCTCAACAAGGAGGTTTATGGCAGATCACTAAGTATTGCTTTAATGAAAGCTGCAGATTTAAGAAGATTGAAAACAACTTTGGAAATTACAATAACATTGAAACAGAGTTTATATGAGAGTATAGTGACAGGGTGTAGGTTCACTTTGAAAGACTCACGCACACATTCATGAATATTCTGATCACATTCAGGAAATATGGAACCAATGTGGGGGAGCGCTAACTTATTTTTGAAGGTGCAAGCTGAGGGCTGTGATTTTCATACTCGCTTTCTAAGTCACTGATGAAGAACAAGCACATGGTCACATGGTCAGTAAAGCAAAAAATAATCACCTGCATATTCCGCCAGTCAGTGCTGGCGGATCGAAGCGGGGAGGGGGGAATCCAGCCCCTCCCCTGTCATGGCAGAGAGCAGTGACAGGATCGAGAGGTGAGCGAACTGGACAGCACTGGAGGATCGGAGGGATATCCCTGCGGGGAGCAAGGACTGACAGTCACAGCTCTCTCCAGGGAGATGATCAAGAAGTGAGCGAACGACGGCATGTGTTCGCTCACCTCCCGATCTACTGAGCCGACCTGTGACAGTCTCATTGTCACATGTCGGCTAGAACTATGAGGTGAGTGAAAAGCACGCCCCCTCATAGTTCTCCTTTAACTGAACTGAAGACAGAAGCGGATTGGTTGCCCCGGCAACTGCTCCGGATTGTGCCTGCTCCGGGTTTGATAAATTCCCCTCCCTGGTTTTGGAAAGAGTAGGGACGGTTAAACCTGAAGCTTAGTCCGCTTCTATTTTGCACGCACCTCTTTAAACTTCTGCAGAGAATTTTCAGGTCCGAAAACAAACTGGAGCTGAACCAATTCCCGGTTACAATGCGGCCGACCTTCAGACTCACACACATGGGACAGAACTTTCCGTAAGATGGAACGGCTGATCACCCGGGAGTGACGCAGGGCCGATACTAACTCGTCCTCGAGCAGCCAGCGGATCTAAAAAAACAAAAAACAGCAAAATGACATAAGAGAACACAGGAGAGAAGGAAGAGTCACACAGCAAGAAGACAAGAAGACAAGTAATAATAATACAAAATGGGACACTTTTTAAATGTGCCGTGTGCACGTTTCTTGCAGTTGTCTCAGTTTTACCCTTTTTGTATCATTTTTCTATGTCTGTGTTAATTTTTAATTACACTTTGCTTTTAAATAGAACTCGGAGAACTCTCTCTCCATCGCTCCTGAGGGTAACACCAAGTTACTTAATGCGATATTAAACCCTCCTTTTTTTTTAAAGGAGAACTATGAGGTTAAGGCTTTTCCCCGTAGTTCTCCTTAGGGTAACGGGAGGACAAATATATTTGCTATAGGAAGACCCACTTTGGGAGGCTCAAGGCACATGAAGTGCACTGCTAGTTTTCAGGAGAAATTACAGAAAAAAAAAAACCTTAACATTGCAATAATTAGCATTTCTAGGTGGTCCCTACAGAATATAACAACTTCATATTTCAAGTTCAGGTCCATTTTCAAGTACAAAGAAAAGTGGTTTACACTTAAAAGGGAGTTCATGGAAAAAGCAAATTACCAAAATTTGAACTGGGCCCCAAAAAGGAGAGAAGAGACCACAGCAATTGTACCTGGAGACAGGCTGCACTCACCTCACTCATTGTGACCTCTATAGCTTGCCTGTGCTCTGCGGGGAGCCGAGAGAGCGCCGAATATCTGAAAAGGACGGAAGGACACTTGTCTATTATTGGCAATTGAAGCAGCAGCTAATCTCCAGAGCTGCTCTCATCACCTATTCAGAAGATACCGTAATATAGGAGAAATACTTGCAAAGAGCACTACAGAAGGGGGTACAGTGTTCATTTTTACACTAACTGCTGATTATGTGACCACAGCACGGGCAGAACATCCCTTTTACCCATTAATATGTGCAGGAGAACCGGAAAGGCCAATCTTAATATAAACTGAAAAGAGTATTTTTGCCCATCCAGTCGTGAAATTTACACAGCACCACCCTGTCTGGCAGGTCAGGAGAACCAAGTTTATGTTGTAACGTCTACAGGTCTTGTCCCTCCCCCAGCTTGTGTATGGACAGTGAAAGGAGAAGCAGGAGAGTGATGAGCTCATCTCTCCTCTTATCGGCATGTTTCTTGTTAACACATGAGCACTGCAGCAGAGCTGACTGGCTCTTTGTGCTGCTTCTCCCTCTCCTAGCCTGATATCTGCTGTACAGAAAAGCCTGATAGCAAGTCACATTCAGGTGCTCATACTGCTTGCATTTAAAATATTGATTTATTGATGAATTAGTGAATACAGATCTGCATTAATCTGTGGCTGTTATATCTACCTGGAGTTCAGCTTTAAAGTACAACTAAAGGCTCCTGTATGACCGGTGAAACGAGTACCAAATCCAGTGACCATGTGTTGCACAAGCCTCCTAAAAACTTCCTCTACCCTCCTCCTTGACTGAGCCAAATCTTCCTTCATTTATGTTTACATGAGGGGGCAACTCTGCTGTGATTTCAGGAGCAGTGCAGCATTGTTACCACCCTATCACAGGAAGCTGCATTAGGTGGACTTCAGGCTCAACAGGTATGTGAGGGAATTTTCAGGGGTACTATGAGAAAAAAAGAATGTGCAGGTGCACTTGTAATTAAATGAGAACTATGAGGTGAGTGATTTTCACTCACCTCATAGTTCGAGCCGACGTGTGACAATGAAACTCCCACATGTCGGCTCAATAGATCGGGAAGTCAGTGAACACATACCGTCGATCGCTCACTTCTTGATCATCTCCCTGGAGAGAGCAGTGACTGTCAGTCATTGCTCCCCGCAGGGATTTCCCCCCTCCCTCCGATCCTCCACTGCTGTCTGGAGGAACAGACGGAAAAGGGGGCGGGTACAGCTGGCTCTGCCTCTAGATAGGCAGAGCCAGCTGTCACTCACGCAGCTGGGTGGATCTAGACAGCATTGTCGGGATCCGCCCTGGCTGCGGCGCTCTCGGTATATAGCAAGCTGTAGCTCGCTATATACTGAGCTTTGGGTCATGGGAGGACGCTAGTATATATCCTCCCGTGACCCTTAAGAGAACTATGGGATAAAAAAAATGTACCCCATAGTTCTCTTTTAAGTGCTGCAGCACATATATTTTTTATGGGAGGCCATAGTTCAACTTTAATTTTTTAAGTTACAGACATCAGATGTAATCTCATAAGCAATGTTTTCCAGCACAGGAACAAAGAACACCTAAAAAAGTAAAAAGATCTCTAAAATACAAAGTGTATTGCAATTAATGTATTGAACCTAAACCTAAAATGGCATAACGGTCTGTAATCCCACTTTGTAAGGCCCCCTTAACAGACACACACTATGCAGATGACATGATGAGATTCTGATCTATTATAGAGAAAGAGGAAATGAAGGGTAGCAGCTAATGGTTCACCTCTGCTCCACATTGGATGGGAATCTTTCTAAGGTAGGTGGGATCTCTTCATCAGAGCGATATGAGGATGGCGGGGCGGGGGAGCGGGGGAAGGAAACGCTGCTCTCAGAGGTATACCTGGGAGGGATAAAGGAAAGGAAATGGAAGGGATCAAACACAACAGCACAATGATTGCATAGAGTCAGCAAAGTGCACGGGGGTATATGGAATACCACAGCCGTTCTCTGACCTCTATGCAAACGTCAGACTAACAAGCAAATTAAATGCAGCAAACATGCAGAAAAATGGATTGCATATGAGGTGTGTTGACAACGTATATTTAATGTATTTACATTGACTTTCCATTCATCTCTACCGAGGAATAAAATTACATTTTTGCACTTACCTTTGGTAAAATCCATTTACTGTAGTTCCCGGGGGGACACGGAAATTTAGAGACTTTTGGGTTATACTGCCATCTACAGGTGCACGTGGACACTAGCAGTCAAAAAAAAAAATGGGTCCTGCCCTGTATAACTACTAACATGTCTTAGTTTTGGGGGAAAGCACTACCAATAGAATGAACATACGTTCATAGACAGGTCTTTACCAATTCATTTCTGGGAGTGGACAGTTTCTCCTGGGAAAAGCTTGAGCTGTGCCTAGAATGAGACCCAGATACTCAAGCGATGAGTTAGTTCCAGCACTGACTTGTCAAGTTTTAGAACCCAGCAAAAACTGGATTTGACCTATGTTGGCCAAATCTGAGCTGACTGTTCCCTCAACTGGAGGACATCCAGATATCCCACAATGGGGATGTCCTGGGAGTGCAGCAGGACTAGCACAAGGGCCAGCACCTTGGTAAACACTTGAGGTGCAGGGGACAGGCTGAATGGGCCACAAACTGTAACTGCAGTGTCAGGATTACTGATGCACCAAAAAAAATGCAAGTACCCGTCCCTGATGTCCACAGAGGCCAGAAAGTCTCCCTAATGGGGAGATCTGTCCCTGGTGAAGTATGCTCAAGATGCTGAAGATTTATCTGAGAATTTGGGGGACTTGAAAGTCCAGGTTATACAAGTGGACTGTGGGCCGGGCTTGGACTTGGGTTTGGAGGTTGAGGCCTGGGAGTAATGAAAGGACCTTTTGGCCTCTAAGGGGATAAACCTTCCCAGGCTGAGCCTTAGCCATTGTATTGCTGGGGCAGAAGGCTACTCTTGCCCCTGGTGACATCTTTGATAAGGGTGACCAGGTGCATGTAAAGCAATTGCTTTTGGCATGCCGGTTTGCAGCTCAACATTTCAACCAAAGAGTCCTCAGCATGGTCGAGGCTTGGACTTGGTTTTGGAGGTTGAGGCCCAGGAGTAATGAAATGAACTCTTCGCCTCTAAGGGAGGACTGTTTACCAGTGTTCCTGTAGGTGGAAGTATAACCCAACAGTCTCTGTGTTGATGATGGGAGAAAGATGGAGGATCAGTGGCTAAGCTGTGTTGCTGTATGCAGACAGTCAATGAGAGAAGGTGTGAATCAGCCCTACCCAATTCACTTCTGTGAACTACAGAATATCTCCCCCTATGTAATGAAGAAAAGGAGGGGAAATGTTTTGTAATCCTATCCTGGGATGAGAATCCTGCTTCTCCATAGATACAGTGCGGTGAGTGAGAGTTATCACCCTCAGACAGGAAGTATGTTACTAGCAGCATCACCAGGTTAAAACAAAGGAGACAAAAGCATAAAAAAATAAAATGAATGCAGCCACCACGTCTAAGGACTGGTAAGCTGCACATGAACTGCTATGGTGTTACATGAATATACAGTATATGTAGTAAATAAAACAAAAGTCAGGAGCAGACATGTAATGCAGCTTATACCGAGTGTGCTGAGAGTCCTCATTCACCCCCTCGATCTCCAGTGGTAACGTCAGCACATAAATGTCCAGCATTACGCTCAGATCCGCCAGCGAGATGCTTTGCAGTGTCTCACTGTTCTCAAGACATCGGATAACTTCACCTGGAAGAGAACAAGAAAAAAGAAAACCATAAAAAGGTGAAACCGCTTACATTTGAAACTGCGGGAAAGATTTGTTAGGGTTAAAGTTCTGCTTTAAAGTAAAACTATAATGGTTTGGGGTCAATTTTACATTTATTCTTGAAGTCTAAAAGCCAGGCAATGACGTCCCCAACAGTAGCAAATGCTTACCTTTTTTTTTCTGCATCCCTGCCACCAAATGTTAAATAAAGATCAGTTCCACGGTATGTTGAGGAGGGGGGGGGGGGGGGGGGCCAAACCAA